GTATGTAAATGAACAAGTGAATAAACGTGATTTTAAAATTAAAGGAAAGGAGTTCTGAGGTGTGCTACAACATAGATAGATGCTGCACTGAGCAAAAAAGTACATCACAAGAAGAGAAAACTTTTTTGTTGTGGTTGTTTTTCTGTATATTTAGTGTTCTGATTAGTAGTATATGGTGAGGGGACTTTCGTTTTTTTGGTTCAGTGTTTTGGTGTTCTGTATGTGTTTGCATACTTATAGGCATCTTATTCTTTAGATTAGGAAATTTTTCTTCTATAATTTTGTTGATAATATTCTCTGGGAATTCGAGCTGGGATTCTTTTTCTTCTATTCCTACCATTCTTACATTGAGTTGTGCCATACTATCCCATATTTTCTGGATATTTTGTCTCAGGATGCCTTTAAATTTAACATTTTCTCTGACCAATTTATCTATTTTTTCAATTGTATCCTCAAGGTCTGAGATTCTGTTTTCCATTTCTTATATTTTGTTAGTCAAGCTTGTTTGTAAACTTACTCTTCACTTGGCTAGATCTTTCATCTCCCAAAATTCACTCTTTTTTATTGATTCTATTTTCCATTTCCAGGTCTTAAACAGTTTTCTTAAATTTTGTGACTTTCTTTAAGGAATTTATTCATTTCTTCCAATTTTTGCCTTTTCCTCAATTTGAGGAATTTATCCAGTTCCTATTTTATCCTCAATTAAGGAATTTTATCCTATTTATTTTATTCTGTTTATCCTCAATTAAGGAATTTATCCAGTTCCTATTTTAAAGTTTTATCATGTTCACATAGCTGGTTTTAGGGATTTTTATTGTGCTTAAGCTGTGCTGGAATATTAAGGGATTGTTGTAATAGCATACCTGGCCTCTGCTGGTGACATGTTACCTTGGATGTTGTTGATTTTCTTAGGCTTCTATCAGTCATCTGGGTTTGGAGTGATTATAAATTTAGGAGCTAATTTCTGATTTGATCTTGTTTAATGGGTGTTGTTTTCCTTGGTTTCTGTTTCCTTTCTGGCCTATGAGGCCTGTAGTTGAACAGAGGTTCTCTATCAGAAATGGAGTTTGGATTGTGGCTAACCAGCATGATCTCTGATCTAGCAGGGGGTCTCACCAGAGTTAGGAACTGGAACGTGGGACAAAGTAGAAAAAAAATGTGAACAGAATAGATACCAAGACAGTGAAGGATGGGGTAGATGATATATCTACACATTTGCAGTCTGCAAGGCCTATGGAAGAATAGGGTGTGCCCTTCTGAGTTGAGGGCTGGCATGAAGATGAGGCTGTTTTGGAACTTTCTTTGGGACCACCAGCTCTTTAATAATGACACTAAGAATTGTTTCCAGATAGCTCATAACATATTAACCCATTTATTGTATTCTAGTTCTGCCATGTGGCTTATTAGTCCTGGCCTACTTTTCCCTCCTTCTCTCCCTAGAGAATACTTCCACACCTGACTTTCTCCTAGAGCCCTCTCCCTCTTTGAAGTCCCATATTCTTTGCTATAGGACATCAGACATTTTAGCAAACTGTTAAAAAGGTGAGCAAGGGAATGTGGCAGGATTTTCCCTGTTCAAGTACATTAAACTATTAGTGCAGCAGGAGGTCTGTGATTGGACAGGGAAAAGGGAGGCAGAGCTAAGAGACAGGGAGAGACTGGAGAGGGAGGGAAGGAACCAAGATGGAAGTGGACAGACAGGATGATTCAGAACCATGGTGGTTTTAAATAGCCTCAGGTAGTTATGCATATCATGTAAGGATAGAATAATTGGAATAACTTACCTGATCTAGGTGGGCAGCTTTTACCATTATCAATTGGCTTTGAAATTATTGTGAGGGCATCTTGTGATTTGAGAATTGTTGATAGATAAATCTGACTGATTATCTATTAAGCTTCTAGAGTTTTGATTTTACTGGGTTATTAGGTATTGTGATATCTAACCATGAGGTGGGCAGTCATTAAATGGGGCTGGTGTAACAGCGACGATGCCAAGGGAAATTAGCAAGTCTGGTGGAGACATCTTGGTGGCACTGAACCATAGAATCTGCCAAGATGAGAACACCCAGCTAGAGGGTTACTGGAATGTGAAACTGCCAAGCAAGTGAGGTAATGACAGTAAAGGAATTAGTGGTTTCAGAGACAAGCTAATCAGAGCTAGGAATACCCAGACTGGTTGATGTGGGGACTAGCTAGAGATAAAGGCTACAGGACCACATTGGGGTAGAGAGTTGGTGGCAGTAGCACAGGAAGCCTGTTGGTTGTTATTTTTTTATACAAGTAAGTGTATACAAAGCATTGAGATAGGTGATGCTTAACAATCCATGACTAATTTCTTGTGTTTTATTGGGTATAGGTACCATCCTTGTGTTGGAGTTTGCCTTCTAGTAGCCTTTATAGAACTGGATTAATAGAATGATACTGTTTAAATTTAATTTTGTCATGGAATATCTTGGTTTCACCATCTATGGTGATTGAGAGTTTTGTTGGGTATAGTAGCCTGTGCTGGCATCTGTGGTCTCTTAGGGTCTGTATGACACATGTCCAGGATCTTCTGGCTTTTAGTATCTCTCTTGAGGATTCTGATGTAATTCTGATAGGTCTGGCTTTATATATTACTTGGCTTTTCCCCCTTGCAGCTTTTAATATTATTTCTTTGTCCTGGGCCTTTAGTGTTTTGACAATAATCTGACAGAATGATTTTACTTTCTGGTCAAGTCTATTTGGTGTTCTATAGTCATCTTGTAGGTTATGATCATCTCTCTCATTAGGTTTGGGAAGTTTTCTTCTATGATTTTTCGAAGCTATTTTCAGGCCCTTTGAACTGGAAATCCTCACCCTCTTTTATTTCTATTATTCTTAGGTTTGATCTTTTTGTAGTGTCCCAAATTTCTTGGATGTTTTGAGTTACAAACTTTTCATGTCTTCTCTGACCAATATATTGATTTCTTCTATGGTATCTTCTATGCCTGAGATTCTCTGTTCATCTATGTATCCTGTTGGTGATGTTTGAATTTGTAGTTCCTATTCTCCTTCTTAGATCTTCTATCTCCAGGGTTACCTCAATTTGTGTTTTCTTTATTGTTTTTTGTTCCCATTATTAGTTCTTGGACAATTTTGTTCATTTATTTTACATGCTTGACTGAATTTTTCTGTATTTCTTTAAGATATTTGTTTCCTATTTATTGGCTTCTACCTGTTTGATTGTGCTTTTCCTGTATTTCCTTAAGGGATTTATTTATACTATTTTAAAAGCCTCTATCATGCTCATGAGATGAGATTTAAGGTTACAGTCTTCCTCCTTAGGTTTGTTAAGATATCCAATGCTTTCTGTAGTAGGAGATCTCGTTTCTGGTTGTGCTGTATTACACTGGCTTCTGTTGACTGTGTTCTTTTGCTTGCTTTTCACTATCTGGCTGCTTTTGGCTTCCTTCATAGCAAGTTATAAGTTGGAACAGACCTTCTGGGAGGTAGACAGAATTGTAGGTAGAGGATTGGTGTGCCAAACAGAGATAGTGGATGAAGGTGTGGACCAGAAGGAAGATGGAACTCTGATAGGATGGGGCAGATCTCATGGCTGTTGGGCTTGCTGCTGTCCCAGAAGTAGGAGAGTCAAGCTTATTTTTCTTGCTACTACATGGCCTTTGCCATTCTCAGAGGGATATTCCATAACCACTTCCTTCTATGTTTGACTCTAAAACCATAACCACATGGCTGAGATGGCAAGTTCTGCTCCTTGATGGAGCTGGAACATGGCCCCCTCTTTTCAATAGCATCTTTGACAGCTTTCTGTTTTAGATAGTTTACAGCCTAATGTTGGCTGTTCTTGAACTTTTTCTATAGAGAAGGATGGCATTGAATTCAGAGATCCACATGCCTTTATCTCCTGAGTGCTGGAATTAAAGGACGTACCACAACACCTGGACCTTTTTTTTTTTTTTAAATTCTATGTCAGAAGATGGAAGAATAGTTGGTGGGATATTATCTCAAGGACTATACTCCCTTATTTCTGTTTAATATATTTCAGCTGTTTATCTCCTTGAACTAAGGACTTAGCTTTTTCTTTTCATTTTCTGATGTCCCTTTGCTCTTTGAATCAACATTCTTTATTTTTCCATTCTCAGCTTGTTCCATTTTATCAAAATATTCTTCACAAGTGGAAACCAAAGGAGTGAGTCTATGCTTGGCTGTTTGCAGATTTCCTTTGCCAATGCAATTCATCTAAATCTCTTTACTTTAGCCTCATGCAGACTCTTAACAGATGGGCAAAATGCAGCCACATTTTCCACAAAATATCACAAGAATGATTTGTAGAAAACATACTAAAATTCTTCTCCTCTGAAACCTCTTGAGACAGGTCTCCAAAGTTCAAATCATCCTAAGCACAACTGTCTTCATGTTCATTCTAGTATGTCCCATTAAGCAGCACTTGATACATTCTACTGCTTTCCTAAACCAAAGTTCCCAAATCCACTTTTCTCCAAATAAATGCATAGTCAGGCATATCCTAGTCCCTTCTTCTAACTTATGGCTTAGTTATGTTTTTAATATTATGAAATGACACTTTAACCATATCATGTCTTATAAAAGATAATATTTAATTGTGGCTGACATACAGTATCAGAGGCTTACTCTATTTAATTTTCATGGCAGGAAGCATGGAAGCACATAGGCCTGCATGGTGTGCCGGACACTACTCGCGCCTAGGGATCACAGGCGGCCGTGCTGGAGTGAGCAGACACAGGCAGAGACACAGGTCGGCAGGAGGCAGAGACGCCGGGCATGCAGGACACGGGTCGGCATGGGAGGCCGCGTGAACAAGAGCGGGTGGAGATGTCCTGGGCGCCGGCTCAAGGCCTTCACGGGACCCGCGATAGAGTGCAGAGAGTGCCGGGGTGGGCGGCCGCACGACTAGCTTGAGTCCCTCCCCAGCCCCGCGCGGACAGGGGGATACAAGATTTTGACTTACTCGAATCCAGAATTCATGAGACATGTGAAGATTTGAGACGTGTTGATTTATTAACAGATGACTGGGGGGTTGGGTGGTGAATGGTAAAGGGCTCTCCTGAAACATGTCAGAAGGTGTTTCACTTATATATTGGAAACGGAGGAGAAGGGCAGGGCAGAGAAATCTTGAGGCAGAGACTTGTTCTCTCTGCCCTCTCTCTGGGCTCTGGGGGGCATGGCCAAATTACAGTCCCACAATGGTGGTGGAAGCAGATCCAAGACTTAATCTTCAGGCAGCAAAAGAAGATTGTTCAACTTCACTTGGTAAAATTGAACATTTGGAATTTAGTATTTTAAAAGTCAGCATTTTGGTGCTCCAACTGAGAAGACCCGACAGACAGAGTGATCCTTCCAGCTGCAGACAAACTTAGAAGCCATCAAGTTTTGTAAGCCATCTAGGAAGTGCTCAAGGAGAGAGTTAAAAATGAGAGATGCTGTAATAGAAAGGTCTGATATCCTGTATAGTGCTATTCTATATGGCTTAAAAAGCTAAATGACTTAATTGAAATTTGCTGAAGATTGATTATGATTATTATATTTTAGTATTTTATATTTTGTCTTTAATAGTTATAGTGGTTTTTCACATGTTCTGAAAGGAAAAACCTTATTAATACAAGAAAAAGTAAAACATTAAAATACACCAATAAGATACAAGCTTCAGAAGGAAAATTAGAAGCCTTATAAATGAGAATAAGAAGAAACTCAGATACAGACAGGGGAATTTAAACAAACTTGAGAGAGACCTAATAAAAATACCTAAACACATCACAGAAATTAAACAAGCATTAGGAAGACCTAAGAAAATTACTCAGATAAAGGCAGAAAAATTTAGACCAGAGTCTATCAAGTCACTTTAAAATGAAACCAAGTGGGAGCTGCCCAAGATTGCTAGAAAACTAAACTTAGTTTATCCAGTTACTGTAAAAAAAATTCTACCAGGAGACAATAGGCACTTCTAAGCTTATAATGAAATTAAATTTTATTGTATATACATATTAGATTTGAGGATATTTAAGAAAGTTCTTCCTATGATATGCATTCATTCTACATGACACAGATATTAATTTCATGGGCAACTCATGCCAGAACTATGGGACTGCGTAAGGGTAACCTGGTTCATGGCTGGGCATGAGCCTAGAATCCTGAGACTCTATGTGAGAACTGGCAGGAGTTCGGCCTCGCCCCCTGAACCCAGACTCCTGATGCGCAGTCTCATCTCCATAGACTTACATTGTTCAGTCACATAGGCCATTACAGCCCCTCCCAAAGTGCACAGGTAGAGGGTGTGACTACAGGCCTCAGGCCCTAGGGATTTGAATACTATTGAAGGCCAGAGGGTGGAGTAAATTAAGCATTCCCAGAAACTCCCCCTTCTTCCCTCCCTATTTAACTTGGGACTACCCTGAGTTTTACCGGGGTACATCCAGATTCATCCACCATCCGCCATGACAATAAACCCTTTTGGAACCAAGGACTTCCTCATGTCATTGAGGCCTGCTGCCATCAAAGCCCCCAGCTGCTGGAACCTTAAACCTTCTTCTGTATGTGGGACCCGCCAGCGTGGGTGGAAAGCCTCTGGGACTCCATCACAACTGCTGCGGCTTTCTTTTTTCCCCCACAGAACTGTGCCCCAAGACTGGAAAGATTTGGCAACAAAAATATTGAAATCTGGACATCAGTTACAATGGTGCACATGGTGGGAAAAAAGGCAAGGGCCATAGAATAACAAAATCAGACTAGAGGCATTGATATTTTCCAAAATAAGGTGCTACTTGATGGTCAATATGCTCAATTACAAAACAGCTTGAATCAGGACAGCAAGGCTCCTCAGACAGAAGAGAGAGTCCATAGCCAGACAACGGAGGTACACTGCCCACCAATCCTTTGCCAGTTGGGTCTGCTTGAGGTATATCCAGCAGTATAAGATCCACTGGCATCCATCTTCTCACTCATGGATCCTCCTGCCTCCCTGAGAAGTCCTACTGGCATCAGGATTATACAGCTAACCAATCAGGAAAAAACAGATGCCTAAAGGACAGTGTAAGAACACAACAAGAAAAGCCAGGGCAATATGGCAACACTAGAACCCAGCTATTCTGCTACAATAAGTTCTAGATATTCTAACTAAACTGAAGTACTAGAAGATTATTTTAAATCAGATTTTACAATGGTGATATAGGGCTTTAAATAGGAAATAAATGAATCCCTTAAAGGAACACAAGAAAATACATTAAAACCAGTAAAGACCTTAAAAAGGAAGCAAATAATTGTAAAGAAATAAAACATACAACCAAACATGTGAAGAATATGAATAAAGCTGTCCAAGAATTGAAAATGAAAATAAAAGTCTTTAGTTTCTTCTTTTTTTCCTGATACAGATTCATTAAGTAGAGAGTTGTTCAGTTTCCATGAGAGTGTAGGCTTTATGGAGTTTGTCTTGTTGAAGTCCAGCTTCACGAAATGCCACTGAAAGGCACTTTAGCTACATCACTGTGACTGGCCTCAAGTCTTCTTGTACCCCTTACATGTTTTCTGGGTTGAAATGTCCCTGTTCTTCTTTGTACATTACCCATTCAATCCAGAAGAAGGTGAACTAGGTTATTTTCCTAATGTATTTTAGCTCTATGATTTCTTTGTAACTTGGTTTACTTCTGTGAGTCACTTCAGAAAACAATGATAATTATATCACTGTTATTAGTGCTGCATGGCAGAATAGTATTCCCTAACCAATAGATATTTGATCCTTGCTACTTTCTAACTATTTTTTTTGGTTTTTCAAGACAGGGTTTCTCTGTGTAGCCCTGGATGTCCTGGAACTCACTCTGTAGACCAGGCTGGCCTTGAACTCAGAAATCTACCTGTCTCTGCCTCCCAAGTGCTAGGATTAAAGGCATGCACCACCACTGCCAGGCTGCTACTTTCTAGATAAGAATAGAAACATTAAAAAAAATTCACTACTTCATGCCTTTCTCAAGAAATAAAAACTCATTTCCCTGGTTCCAGTGATACTAGTATCTCTAGAGAATTACACAGTGGCTCCCAAATGGCTGGTAAACTTGCAGTTTGTTCTGACTGAGGAACATAATTCTCCATATCCTCACACTGTTCTTGATAAGGAGATTTCTTCCCTGTAAAGGCATAAGAATGTGGCTTTTGATTGTTCATGCATTGTTAAAAATAGAAAAATCTAGAGTATACAGCATTTGTGTTCATTCTTTAGAGAAATCACTGAGATACCATAGATGCCTTCTTAGAAAAAAAAACAGCATTTATATTTATTTGATTATCATCAATATGAAGACATCAAATTTAAATTTGTCTTTTCCATATCATTTACCTTTAAGCTTAGTACTGCACATACAAGTTACTCAAAATATATAAAAGTACCAAAGCACTTAAAGTGTAAGTGTACACTCATTAATGAATGATACTTGTTAAATTGCAGATAGATTAGAGCAATTAGAAAGACTCCCAGATCTCTGAGTTATTGGAGAGTAATCATAATTTTTTCTCTCAAGCCTTATGTATTAATGCCAAAAGGGAGCAACATTCTCATCAGTTCCTAACTGCCTCAAATGGCACAAGTAAGAAGACAGCATATATCATTAAAAGAAAGTCATGAACCATTTCTACTCAGATCAGAATGCCAGAATCTCGAAGGTCAGCCTGAGATAATAGAGATATTGTAGATATGGTAAGAAACTCTGCCATGATCACTGGGAATCCTGCTCTTCCTCATTCAGGATGAGAGTAATGTATATTGAGTCTATACCCACTGTGTGTACTCTGTATTTGGATGTACTGTTTCCTTCTTTGTTTTTTTGATTTTGATAGTGAACACAGACTTCTCTTTCTTTATTCTCCTAGGTGGTCTGAATACAGGTGTGAACAAGCACACCTGGCTAAGGCTAACAAGTATTTTTTTTTTTTAGCAGTGTATTTCTTAACAGAATATGTTACTTGGGAAATAAGTTTGCTTTACCATTTTTGTTGTCTAATTAATTGCCATTTCACTCTGACATCCATCTAACCACCTATCCAATAACTCCCAATTCATTCATAATATTTTGTGTCAGTTACAGGTACATTTTGAATAGAACATAGTAGTCTTCCATATTTTTCTCCTAGGAAAATAGATTTGTGTAAGACAGGGAGCTGTTTCTTCTTTTGGCTATCATTTTAAAGAACTTCTGGTTCACCCAAAGGACATAAGTTCGATTGCAGTGACCAGTGGATTTGTCTCTCTACTACTCCCTTATAAACTCTGATTCACTTCTCTTTAAAGAAGATAATAGTTTCTCAGTCTGGCTATGTTTTCTTCTGCAATCCCTTCTAGATCTGATCCACCTCTTCCTCATCAAGGATACAGTGTTCTCCCTCTCTTATTATATAATCCTACTGTCTCAAGATGCAGGAAATAACTGTCACCAATTTTGCAGTTTTTGAAGTCACTTAACAAATGCAATGATATTTTCTGTTCTATATAAATGTTTTATTATCCCTCTGCTTATGTTTCTTTGTTCCTGAGCTAAAATATAGTTTCACTGTAAAGTAGTAGGTATCATAATATAGATCTTGCTTATTTTCTTCTGCATATTTTCAATAATAAATAAATTTGCTTTGTGTACCTGTTCTCAGACTTGCTTACAATTCAGGTAAGAAATGAAACAAAGTAAAGTTCTAAAACATGCTGGCCCAATGAACAAGAAGCACAGAGAATGCAAGATATAGTGCTAGGGAGACATAGTCTTAACATACAAACATGAAGACCTAAATTTGATCTCCTGTATATATGTAAGAGAGCAGGAATGGTGATTTGTGTTTATTATAGCAATGCATGGGGAGATAGAATCAAGACATTCCAAGAACTGCAATATCCTGTCCTAATTCTTATGTCTTATGTCATACCTGTCTCACAAAAAAAGCTGCCAGCTCCTGAATAATAAACCCAAGATTCACCTCTGACCATCATATATGTGTATATACATGTACATTCATTTTTTCACACACATGTTCCTGATAATGAAAACCTACCCACATGTATGTATATGCCCACATATATACATGTAAAGCTGAATGTAAAAGGGAAGGTAGAATAAAGCTCCTTGATCATTTCTTAGAGTCACTGAAAACATTTGTATTTGGAATAGATGAACAGCGTCTAGGGGCAGCCCCACTCTGTAGTCAAAGGGATGAATACCCATGCAGGGGTGAAGGTCATTCCCCACATTTCTGATACTGTAAACAAAAGGTAAATATTTAAATATGTTCCAATATGAACTGGGTATATGTTTTGTTTCAGATTGCTTACCATATTCTCTATGTACCCCTCTTCTCTCCTAACAAGGAAAACATTACTAGCTGCTGCTGCTGCTACTGTTGCCACTGCCACTTC